GAACATGTAGCAAAATAATGTCTACATATAATATATACAGGTATGCACTGTTAAATGATGGGCATATCTTCCAATAAATACGTAGAGAGAACGTCATAACGTCTAATCTAAATGTTAGTGTCTGCTATAGGTTTTAACACCCAGCTTGGAACTTTTTAAACACCCAGCGTATAGCCCCGTTTTAGCGCCGAGCGACTTCCACCTCTTTCCTGAACTGAAAATGTGGCTAGGAAGGCGGATGTTTGAGACTAATGACGATCTTCAAAACAATGTTAAGGCCCGTCTCGAGTCACCGGCGGCGACATTCTACGAAGAGGAGATTGGAAAGCTTCTCCGCAGATAGACAAATGACTCGATCTTCATGGCGATTATGTCGAAAAGTAATCATGTTTGTACCTAACTTTTGGTAATAAATTCATTTTGTCATTTACACTTGTCTTTGTTTTATGGACCATTGGAGGTTGGTAAAAGAAAGAAAATGCCTTTGTATGCAGTGCTGTATATATGACTTTGATGTCGGTACAAATTTCTTGTTGCATGGTAACTTTTCGGATACCCTGTACTTAATTACAAATATTTATCTTTCGTAACTGATTTAAATTGCCAATAATTTACATTTTATTTATTATTTAAGTTCGTTACTTAACTTTGCTTATTTTACTTTATTTTTTTCAGACATTGGATAGATACAAACATGTTATCAGTTGAAGTATTTCATATAAATCACATTTATATGCAGACGATAAAATTGAATTTTAATTTATTATTGAATGATAAAGTTTTTTAACCGTGAAACATATATCAGAAGCAACTGAAAGAGAATAAAATGCCGAAGGAAGACGTCTCGTCGCAGGAAGAGCCGAATTAACTCTCGAAATGAAAATACTTTTCTGCGGCGTATTTACTTCAATAAAATTATAAATCGTTTGCGCATTACAATTGGAATATGAATTCTTAAGTTTTTGCTTAATAATGTTTTATATCTCTAAACTATATAATTTAGAATTTGGTATTAAATTTGATAAGTTGAGTTTTAATAATAGTTCAATAATGCAGAATTTTATCTTTATTTATTTTTGCAGGAAGACTTAGAAAGAAGACGGGCAGATTTGACTGCAGAATCTGCGGCAAAGTGTTCTCGCAGAAGAGCAACCTAAACGTTCACTTAAAGACTCATTTCGGCGAGACCTACTCGTGCGACATTTGCCACCGCGAATTCGGTCTCAAGTCGACTCTATATAATCACGTCAAGATCCATTCCGGATTCAAACCCTACGTTTGTGACATATGCAGGCACAGCTTTATACAAAAGGGAGATTTAGTGAGGCACATCAGAGTGCACACTGGCGAGAAACCATACTGCTGCGACTATTGTTTCCGCAGGTTTGCAGACAAGTCCAGTTTGACGAAACACGTAAGAAGAATTCATTCGGGACAAGGTAAACCGACGATACTCGTCTGATTGCGAGTTTAGGGTTTCAGGTGAGATATCTATAATATATAGGTTCTGTTCGGCAAGCTATTAAACTAGATTGCCAAACGTTGCAATAAATATATGTTATAACAATAGAAATGTTAATTTTATACAGTTCCAATTTCATTTCTCACAAAATATTCCATGGATAATTCTTTTAGTTTCGTGATTTATGCCAAACAAATTGTAGGCTACATTTATGTGAGAGTTGTCATTTGAATTGTAAATTTGTTATATATATTGTAGTATGCAATACATGTTTTGGATATTAAAATTTATTATTCATTCAAATTATGTCTTATTCTCAAATCAACTTGAGTTTATCCTGTTTGTTTCATAAGAAAAAACTATTTATCAACAAGGTAAAGCAGTAAAATGTCAGCTACTATATGGTAATAGAGTGTACTCTGTTACCGCAAAGAATCTGGATTCATACATAAACCGCACTTGTGAGTTTTTGTGCTTAGTATACTCAGCATAATTCCCCGTCCCTTGTTCTTGCTAGTCCAACCCATTGTGTATTGGGTTAGTATGACATGAGTGTAACGAGTCGTCGTCTAATACATTATGGTAACACAGTCGGAACGTGTGGCTAATTCTCACAAACAAATCTTATCGTTGAGTACATTCTGGCATGCATCAAACTGCCTGTGATGTAATAAGATATGTTCCTGTATTCACTGATTTATTGGGTTGCGGATACACTTAGCTCCAACAAAATGATATGTCCGTCTCCGGAATTACGCTACTAATGTCACTTTTACTATATGTAAGTATTAACCGAAAGCCATTTTGACAAAATAAGTCTTACTTCTGTTTGCTTCCACCATCTTATTAGGTTGCTAAGTGTTATGGTAAAAGCTTCTTAAACTTTTCATAAGCGTTAGTTTTTATATGTTGGCTTGCGACTTGCATGCATTCTGAATCTGTATGCGATCTTACATCTACGTTATAACGTAATTCGTGGCTCGATGTCTGGCAAAACAGCTTTAACAGGAAACTTACCTAGTATAGCATAGAAAAACACTCGAATGGCATTTTTTAAGTTAATCTGCACCAATTTTTAAGAACATTTATGTTTTGTTTTCAACTAGGAAGCTTTGTATACAGGATGTCATAAGTCTCCATACAAATGGTAAAAGCGGCAACTGATGTTTATTTTATTCGTACAAATGGTATCATATGATGCAACAGAATAATAATCCGTTCCTTCGTTAGTGGCATTTCTTTTCAATTGGTTCACCTTTCTGAAAACGAAAAGTAAATTATTCACCGCTTTCACCATTTGTATGGAGACTTATGACTCATCCTAGACTATAAAACACAGACTATAAAAAAAGGGCATTATGCAAGAAGCTTCAAACTATCATTCAACTCAGATCAGTGCTCCCACAAGGTAGCGTTGGGTCAACAGAGGCTGTTTTTGTCAACGTACCACAAAGATGCATGGGATAATGGACAAATGTTGTTAGTTTCTTTTATATTTGCAGAATAGGCCAGAAGTCACGAATTTTCAGTCTGTCAAGGGTATTATTTGGGTCACCTATGACAAGGGAGCACATGTATAATGCATTTAAAAACAAAAAAGTTTACAAAGTGCCTGCTAGGGTGGTAAGTGGCACTGAACACCGTAGTGAATAACTTAAAATGTTTAAACTTACATAGTCATACAAAGTACCCTGTGTATGGGTAACAGTACGTATGTGTCGACCTCCGTTGGCAACATTGAAATTGTACGTGGGACCAAAGGAGGCCAGTGTATGGAACGTGCTGTTGCTTAATAACACAGCTTATTCCTGGTCCAGAAATCCCCAAGAATTTTTTGGCGTGGTCGTTCGGATATGTCGGGCCCCGTCCCTCACTACGTGGTTGCCCCGTTGTGGGCCTGCTAAAAGAGGTTCTCTCAGTGTCCACAGGATGGAAAGAGTTAAAAGACCTGGTCGATCACGCGATGATATAGATGGGAAAAGAACGCCCTCAGCATCCACAGGACGGAAAGAGGCAGAAATAAAATTTTGCTTTAGTTTTTCCTGTTACATACAAATTTTGTACGTTATACTGTCACTAATTAATACTGCAATCAAACGAACATCTGTTAAAATAGCCAGGTGTTCGTATAGTTTGATTTCCGATCGTTTTATTTGGGGTATATCCACGTACACCTGTTGCAATATCAAGTATTGATAGTTTTCTTCTCCATGAACTTTTTTCTATGAACCTCTGTGACGAAATATGTACTAGAAGCTAGGTAAGTTATTAATTTAATACCCAATAACTTGTTACTGAGGTGTCGATTTGTTTAAATTCGAGTTTACAATTATCTGGTAGTTATTTGCGTAAATTAAATTTTACACAAGCGTGTCCCATTAAATTATTACATTGAATAGTGAGGGGTCGAGAAACTCTTCAGTAGTATAAAGGAGGATGCGCATATGCGGCGCGGCAGAATAACGTAACTTTTTCTCGCTGCAGAAGTCGATTTTGTGCCTCTTCTCGTGCCACAAAAGTTGGTTGAATTCTATCTTTTGCGACGACCTCCGCCAAGACGCGTTTCTATCAGACAAACTGTTAGTCGCGTGAGAAAATACAATCTAGTGGTGTTTTAAAATGGCGGAAAGTTCGACGCTATTAACCGAGATAATATCAGAATTAAGAGGAAAGGATAATAAATTTAACACAACTAATATAATTTGTTTCAAAGAACAAACCAACCTAATCTTACTCGTAATAGTATTATGTATCGAGAGATCTTAATGGAGGAATAAGCGTATTTGTACACCAGTTCTTTTAACAGTTTCTGCCGGTGGCCACTAAGAAGGCCTTTTATAGTAGCTCGTTATGGGTTCGACAGGGCCCATGGGACCCGAAACGTTCGGACGGATTGCCCCCGCCGAAAAATTCGTGGATAAAACTATCGAACACTGGTAGTTGGTCACGGGTTCGTCCCTCACCAACAGATCATCCGAGTGGACTTTCCGGATACGTCGGTTCTTCGTCTCCCATCACCCGTTTGCCCCATGACGGGTTTGGTCGAACCCACGACGGATACGATAACTCCGCCGAGTGCCCACGGGAGAAAATAATAATAATAATCGTGTGTAAAATGACTTAAATTGATGTACAACGTTCTAATAAATATAAATTTTACAGATTTCAAGATGCTGATGAGAAAATGTTTTCTTCCTCATTCCACAGTGGTCCCAATTCTTATTTTATTTAATGTATTAACGTTACTGTTAATTGATATAATAATGAATTATCATTTCTATGGAGCGTTTTTGTTTTCTAAACGGAATTTTAACGTGTACAAACTGAAAACGACAAAGCTGAAATTGTGTGCACAGCCTAAAATTGAAGTTCGTAGCTTAAACCAACCCAGAGACGTCAGGGTAAGTACGACGAGTATCGAGTACCGTCGTCACCCCAAAACCATTCTTCTATGGACAAAATATTATGGAGAGACTTATTCCCATGATTACTACTACTTCGTAGAAGAAGGTAACACCACTTTCAAAATGTACGGCTGCCCATATAGCGATTGCATCGTTACGACAAACAGGTCTTTGCTGAAAACTGCCCATGCAGTTCTCTTCCATCAGGCGGATTTCCACCCCCGGGATATACCGAAATCTCGAGATATCAATCAGAAATGGATATTTTATCTTATGGAAGCTCCTGGGAGAGATTCAGTTTTCTGGCACACCAGAAATAACCTGTTTAACTGGACTATGAGCTACAGGAGCGATTCGGACATTCGAGTGAAGTACGGAGAAGTGTGCCAATTACCAACAGAAGAATGGGAATACGTGGATAAGGACTACTTGCAGAGTAAGATCGGCGAAGTTGTGTGGTTCGTAAGCAATTGCCATACGTCGAACAATAGAATCGATTACGTTGCAAAGTTGTCGGAACACATCCAGGTTGATATATACGGAAATTGTGGCAAGAAGAAGTGCCAACCCAGCCAATCGCCCGAGTGTTACGATGAAATCCTGAAGCATTACAAATTTTACTTGTCGTTTGAAAACTCTAATTGCAAGGATTACGTCACGGAAAAGTTATTTAACGTGCTCAATTACGACGTAATTCCAGTAGTGATGGGTTCGGCCGATTACGAGTCCATAGCTCCTCCACATTTCGTAATAAACGCCGTGGATTTTCCGGATCCGGTCAATTTGGCCGAATTTCTGAAGACTGTCGGCAGCGACGGAAGATTGTACAATTCTTATTTCGAATGGAAGGGAAAATTCAAGAGTTATTTGTACCCCTGGATGTGCGAATTGTGCAAAAAGTTGCATTTTCAGGGAGGTGAAAGGACGGAAAGAAACTATATTTCCAAATGGTGGCTTGAGGAAGCAGGTTGCAAGAAATGGAAGCTCAATAAATTTCTATAAATATTTGTGGTTCTATTTTTAAATATTAAATGAGATATATTTGAAAAAATAAGAAGATATTTTGGCATTCTTGATTATTCTTCAGGATTGTTTTATTCGTATTCGGTAACACGACACATAGATCTGCCTAGACGGTGCCTACTATTACAGTTTAATGGCACAAATGTGTCGCCAGGTTCCGCAGAACACTGTCTGGCAGCTACCTCATCTAAATGGTGAGGCTGCAAAGTCATGAAATACATGCATAATATGAAAATAGATGTTATGTGTTATATAGTGTGTAAATAAAACAGTAACATAATATAACGTCGTACATGTATTTTCCAGGACCTGTACATCCGGTTTAACAACGATATGTCCGCTTCGAACATGTCGAAGTTTCTGTATACCTATTTAAAGAGTTGCGGGATTTATCTTGTTTTGTGCAATACACCTAGTGGTATCACTTCTGGAAATATTGATGTTGAAAACAAGTAATACATTGGCACTAAATGGGGGTGTGGGGATTGCCATACGAACATTACATAGTGTATTGGTTTTCAGGATTTTACTAATATACTTAAAGGAAAATTGTGTCTCCAACTTAAAAAGTCTATTCAAAATTTCTTGTTCACTGTTGACGAGAACCTTATTGTTCTTGACAGAAGAAATTTCTAAAGCGTTCAGTTTATCTACAACACTTTGTTGATTGGTTAGGATAGCTTCTCCGCTTTTATTTCAGGCAATTTGATTTAGTTTCTTCTCCGATAGACAATTACCAAGAATATTTACGATTTTCTCCACACGTCCTATAATGTACTCAGAGTGCCTTTTGATACCGAGCTTGGCACCATCATTCGACTCAAAGAACCCCTTGATCTCATCTAGTACCCGATAAGCGGAAAGCCGAAGTCCTCCTATATCAAGGTGTTCAGAATCCATCGCGACAGTTAGAAAGTGGAGAAAGTTGCAGGATTGAGGAAAAGAAATAAATTTTTTGGTACGCTTTGCTAGTTTTTTGCCCTCTGGGCGCTTTTCTTTTCCATGCCCATCATGGGTTCGGCCACATCCACAATGGAGACGGCCTGGCAGTGAAACAATGAGCCCAACGTTTCTGATGAAGACCTTCCTTAATTAAAAATACTTTCTGGAATTGCTCGCTGGAACTCGAATCTATCGGAGCGGTAGGCTGGCGTTTTAATTTCTTGGCAATTTCTTTGAGTAAATTTTTATTTTGTATAATGCCTTTACACTCACCCTATAGTTGACTGCTCTCTCTTCTGTTATATCTTCGTGTATTCTCTTTGTTCTATACCGATTGCTAAAGGAAGAGTATGGTGTATAGGGGCAAGACACTACTCATTTGAAGATGGACAGCATGTATTTTAAATTAAATAAATTAAAAATATGATTCAAAATTGCAGCCCGGCATTGTGACGATTCACAATAAATATTTA